GGTGGGTGGGTAAAAGCCTTGAAGGTCTGCTGATGAAAAGTACTGGGTGAATAATAGGAACAGGAGATGCCCCTTATTTCGTACGCTGTTCTGGAAGCTGATGCTTTTATTTGTTTACTGCATGTCATGGAAGGGTCAGGATTTTTGTTTTCAAACATTCATAAATAATGAGAATGTTCTCAAAAGTGAGGTGTAAAGCTAGAAAAGTACTGTGTTCTGTCTCTAAATGTTTTAAAGAATCTTGTTGGTTGTATATTCAAAATTTGTCCTCAAAAGTATACATATTCCTATACTTGTTTTGCTAGATATCGCCTATTAATAAAAACAAGGGAAGATTGTATCTCTACGTGTGCATCAATATTTTTAAAGAATTGATTTAAAGCCTAGAGAAATGTTACTGAAAATGCTGTTTGTCTCTAATTTCAAGAATTTGTTTTGGAAATCATAAATACGTATAGGTGAGGTGTTTTCTGATTTTCAGTGGAAATAGTTGGACTGCCTGTGAACAGAAACGGTGTTGTAGTCCATGCTGCACCTTTTTGCTAGAGCGGGAACGCTTGAAGTAGATTAGAAAGTAAAAGTGAGAACTTGCCTGGATACCAACATGAAACCAAGTTCTCTGTATTTTGAGAAATGTGTTCCATAGTAATAATGTTGATTAGATGAAACTCACTTGATTATTTTTTTAAAAACCTGTGAAATTAGTCCTTTTTAATAACGGTATTAAGTGGCATAGTTCCCCAGTCCATACTAATTTACATCATTTGAGAATCCAGCCCTTCAATATTTAATTTACTGACCTTTATGTTGTGGTGAGACAAATGACTTTTTAATGACGATGGCAGACTTGCTTGCATTATAAAATAAAACCATTGTCTGTGCTGCCAGGGAGCTACTTGCTTTATAAATATAGCATTTGTTGAGACATACGTATTAGGTACTAAAAATACTTAATTGACCTACTTTTTTATTTTCAGGGTTGTGTCCTTTGTTGTGACCTCATGGTTTAACTGGGAATAAAGATGAGTATAAGCAGTGATGAGGTTAACTTCTTGGTATATAGATACTTGCAAGAGTCAGGTGAGTTTTTACAGTTCTGGTCGTTAAACAATGCATAATTTATTTGGTATTCATCTGTAACTGGCTTTAGCAAACACACATTTAATTATTTTGCCAGTAGGCATGTGCTTCTGTCTGACCTCTTTCTTGGTGTTTCTTCTCAACAAGAGAATGAATTCCTACCAAGTTACCTTCTATAACTTAGAGATTTAGTCACTTCAAGTTTTCAGATGGCAGACAACCAACTAAGGGCTCGATTGATAGAAATGCATTTTCCTTGGAGATCACTTTTATCTACAAGGTGACGATGACACTTTGCACCATTTTCTTTAGGGCTCCTTGAAGAAGAAAAAACTATGACCACCAAAATAGCGTTTTTTCTGTTCTGTCTTGGAGTGATGCTCCTGCGAGCTGGTCTTCTGTGGCTGAATTCCTTGCCTGAATGTGACAGGGGGAGGGCAAATGTTGCTGTATTTCAAAGGAAGAAGTGGCAACTGTGACCCTGTGATTTGTATCATTTGAATCTAAATACAGATGAACAGATTTTTTTTTTTACAGGAATGACTCTTGAGTTCTCAAAAGCCTCCCTCCCTGCAGGACACTTCCTTGGAGGGTTTTGTCTTATGGTGTCAAGCCAAAGCCTCCTGCTTCTTAGGCATAAGAGCAAGAGGCAGATTAATATTGTCAAACTTGAAAACAACCTTCAGGCTTCTTGAAAATGCATTTGACTGTTGCAAATCTAAGCATATCTACTGCTTATGTCTACTGCTCATGGACTTCTTAAATTGAGACAAAGAAGCACCAGAAGCGATGGTGAATGGCAGAGTTTTTCAGTCTTGCTTGTCAGAAGAAAGCAGAAACTCATTGTTCCGCCTGAATTTACTGAAAACTATTATATGTTCTTATTCCAGTTGCAGATTGCTTTTGTCACAGAAGCTAAACTCACAAAATTGCTTTATCTTAATCTGAAAGTTTGCAGGCAGCTTCCTAGTTACCTGACAGAAAAAAATAAAAATAAAAAAACAGTAGTTTAAGAAAAAAATCTGTGACAATTAAGTTAATTTGCTGAAACAACTATTTTCCTCTAGTTTAAATCTGCCTTTTCAGGGCAGTGAAATAAATAGCAAAGAACTATCACTGGTGCACTGTACCATGCTTGCCACTTCTTCAGTGCACAACACTGATGTCGTTCTAAGTGCCAAAACATACACAATTGCGACAGCTCTGTACCATGAGGTGACTTCTGTTCTACATGCAGATCCACTTCACTTTCATGGGTAGCAAATCAATGAGTAAAAATAACAAGTGAGTCTTGGTGTCTTGGAGATATATATTCTATTAATACTATGTATGATAGTATATATATATATATATAGTTTCAGAATATATAAGTCTATGTAAGTACTATTGCCTGTTATGTATTTAATATTTTTATATTTACTCATGCACAAATGTATTGCCAATAATGCCATAATTAATAATTGCTGTGTTAATATATAAACTTAGTTTTTGTCTTTCGTACATTGGAACTAGAAACATGTAAGAGTGAAGCAACAGAGGTGAGGTTTTTGTAGTTCATAAGCATGCCATAACTTTTTATAACTTGCTTAGATTTGTAAACAGAAGGTCCGACCGTAGTATGGCAAATAGCATTGTCTATCTACAAATGAATTCTCATGTTTTTGCCTTGTCTTTAGGGTTTTCCCATTCAGCATTTACCTTTGGTATAGAGAGCCATATCAGCCAGTCTAATATAAATGGTGCTCTGGTGCCACCAGCTGCTTTGATTTCCATCATCCAGAAAGGTCTGCAGTATGTAGAGGCAGAAGTCAGTATTAACGAGGTAAGGAGGCTTTGCCTACAAGAGCATTATGTCCTTGCTTGCAGTAAGTTTGAATGTTAGTATTTTTTTCTTAACTTTCTTGTGTCCTATTTATTTACTTTTACTTCAGATTCCTTACTGCTGGTGTTCACCATGACTCCAGTGGTGGAACCAGAATGGAGTGACATAACTGGGTAGGGCTTCTGCCCAGTACAGCCACACAACACCAGGCATGGTGTTCTGGCTCATTGCTCAAAGGTCCGTTGTCTGTAGAGTTTTTACCCTAATGTAATGTTGTAGTAAATCCAGACAAGTGCAGTAAGATAATCATTGAGACAAGTAACATCTTAATTTTTATATTCGTAGACTTGCACTAGGGAGGTGGGAAAGCACTACGCAGCTCTCGTTTGGGTGATGTGTCATTATAATGAAAACCCAAAGGCAGAGTTTCCAAAAAGAGAGAGGGTTTCAATTTGTGGCATGAAGGATGAAGGATGGAGCCAGTTTGCTTTCTGCCTATGCTGGCTAATTCATCTGGAGCAGGATCTATTAAATTTGATGTTCAAATGGTTATTCCAGCGGTACAGAAAGCTATGTATCTTTCTGCCTGATGCTGCAGATACTTGTTCTCAATTTCCATTCTCATTTATGCCTGGGAGGTTAGCAGCCTTTGTATATGTCAGTTATGTTACAGAAGGAAACGATTTTTTTCACTAATTCTGCCCTCTTTCCAGTCTCCCTTATGCCTGCTGTTTATGTGTAGCTTTCATAGTCCCAGTGAAGCAAATCCTTTCCCTTAGGAAGCCTCAGAAAAATAAAGCAAGTGATTGGAATAGAAGGAGACCCTATATTTATCGCAAGGAATCCTTCTAGCTCCTAAAAATAGATTCTTACAAAGCCCTAGCATATGTATAAGGGTATTTTTAACTGGGTCTTGTCCATTTCAGGATAAAATTTTTCCTTGTTGTTTGAAAGCATGCCAGCACTGTTTAAAAAAAGGAAGAAAACTAGTCAACTCTCCAGATAATATGTTTATGGAAAGTATTAGTCTAATAAGATGGAATAACTTCACAAGCCAGTGACCTGACTTGCAATGTTTGCAGCTCTTCAAACAAACCATTAGATTTTCTTGCAGCCACTCATGTTTGAAATCATATTCATAGATAGCTTACAGAATTTTTTGCTTTAGCAGACGATTTAGCAAACTCGAAGCATGTAACTTTTGATTCCAGAAGCTCTGCCAGAGGCTTACAATGGCTTTTTTTGTGTATTTATGGTGGCCACTTCAGAACAAAATTCTAATCCTAACCATGACAATTATGAGATATCACTTCCAGCAATATTTGTAGACTGTTTTATTATATTAAATAAAAACTCTTGCTTTAGTTTTCCTTGGAACTTTTGCCCATAATGTTAATTTGTACTCGGTGTTGTCTTTTTTTGTTTCCTCCCTCTGCTGTAATGTAGGATGGTACCTTGTTTGATGGTAGGCCGATAGAGTCTCTCTCACTGATAGATGCAGTGATGCCTGATGTGGTACAGACGAGACAGCAGGCCTACCGGGACAAACTTGCACAACAGCAGGCAGCAGCTGCCGCAGCTGCAGCCGCGACTAACCAACAGGGATCAGCGAAAAATGGAGAAAATACTGCAAATGGAGAAGAGAACGGAGCACATACTATAGCAAGTAAGTAGAGACAGAAATGACCTTGACCTGCATTACGACATTTCCTTGTCACTGACTGTATGGCCGGTTAACGGGCTGTAGTGTGAGCTAGCAGTGGGGTAAACACACAGAGGTACTAGAGGTACAACTCTTTAAATATCACATCTCCTCAGCTTTGGTGGGGTAAACACACAGAGGTACTAGAGGTTACAACTCTTTAAATATCACACCTCCTCAGCTTTAGCCGTTGTATAAGGAGCAAGGAGAGGAGTCTGCTGGTCCGCAGCTGGTTTAACTGTTCTAACTGCGGATTGCTTGTGATGCTCTGCAAAGTACTTTTGACGGGTCCTGCTATCTGTCTCTCTGTAGACAGACTTCCTTGTCATGCTGAGAAGATCGTGGTTTGCCAAAACAAATCCTGTGTAATTTATCTCTTTTATCAGTATCAGTTTTCATAATTTGCTATTTGGAATTATTTGATGCAACTTCTTCCAAGTTAGGTTTATTCATTGGTTCCATTTTAGTTGATTGGTGAAACAAGTGAGGTTTAATGTTCCTTTGACCAGTCATGACATATAACATACAATTAGGCTTAGTATAGAAAAGTTCAGGTCAGGCATTAAAATGTGATTTTCAAAATATTGTTCTGGATGTCTGAATTGCACACTTTTGAGAGTGGGAGTTACCACCCCTTAATGTTCCTTTGACCAGTCATGACATATAACATACAAAACATACAATTAGGCTTAGTATAGAAAAGTTCAGGTCAGGCATTAAAATGTGATTTTCAAAATATTGTTCTGGATGTCTGAATTGCACACTTGAGAGTGGGAGCTACCACACCTGAAGAAAAGACATTTTTGACACAGTATTCATGTCAAGCCATGTGCAAGTTTTGCATTTTACAGCTGGATTTTAATAATTCTTTTCATTACTATATATGATAAATAAACTTGGAAATACAATCTTCGGCTTAAACAAAAACCTCCCTGCTTCGATGCTTTCATTTAAAAACAATCTCAAAAGAATACTTAACCTGTTAACTGTGAACTGGGTAGACTAAGTGTAAACTTCAGATCTCAGCCACTGTTAAATGTGATATACCAGCAACCCCTACTGGCTGGTACACCAAATTATACTGACATCAGTTCTCTTTAAACAGTGTTTTATATAGTGCTCTTTCTTAAAAATATGCATGTTCTAATAGCTTTCTCTTTTCTCACACGCACAGTGACAGAAACCCTTAGTGTTAAATTAAGCAATAGATGTGAAGAAATGGTTTGGTTAACCACAGTGAATAAATAGGAGCAGGTGAACTGTTCAGCCTTTTTTTTATATTCTGCATTTATACTCAGTGTGAATTTATTTTTAATAATAGAAAATGATTGATGGTAGCTGGCAAGAAAACTGTTTTGTCAGTTGAATTACCTCCAGTGTGTTTTACAGAATAATGTGGATTCAACATAACTTCCACACAAAAAGCTATGTATTGCCACAATTCCACTGTAATTGCCAGCGCCATTTAAAAGCTCTGTTATCAGTTTACCATATCACCAAATGTTATTGTATTAATTAAAACCATTTTGTAAATGAAGTGTCTGAGATCTTGATTTAAATCCTGTTTGACTGCAATGGGTGAGAAGAGAGATTTTAGAAAACGAATGTGTCATGAACACATTTTTAAAGCACAAGATAGACTAGTAGCATGTTGTACTCTGCAATATAGTGCCTGAAAAACTGTGAGTACTTTTAACATCGGTGTTTATTTTTTAACATAGCAAAAAATTAACTTTTGGCCTTAATTTCAAAATTAATTAATTTTAATTGGATGCTGAGGTTTAGAAGGAAGCTTCCTTGTATTTTTGAAACTCTCTATCTGTTTATAGTACTTCATAAGCTGGAACTTAGACAATAAAGGAACATTACAGCTTTGTCAAATTTTGATCCATGTAAATTGTGAATTAATGTTTCTGCTCATTCTGGAAGAATATTAACCACACAGTAGTTAGAATGTATTGTAACAAAATATTGAAATCCAACTCTCTCTACTGTTGTTTCCCATAATGTAGATAATCACACAGATATGATGGAAGTAGATGGAGATGTTGAAATCCCTCCCAACAAGGCAGTGGTGCTGCGTGGCCATGAATCCGAAGTATTCATCTGTGCCTGGAATCCCGTTAGTGACCTTCTGGCCTCAGGGTATGTGCATTAACCACATATGTACATAATATTAATGCTCATTGGCATCCTTCTGTATGTTAATGGGAACAAGTTACAATAGTACCTGCCCCAATGCCCTCTACGTCAAATTCCATAACGTGCTGTTTTGAAAGGAATGCTGTTTTAAATGGAATTAATAGGGAGGAGTTCCATTCTCATTAACTGTTTTGTAGATCGGGAGATTCAACAGCACGGATATGGAACCTCAGTGAAAACAGCACGAGCGGCTCTACGCAGCTGGTACTTCGACACTGTATACGAGAAGGAGGGCAGGATGTACCCAGCAACAAAGATGTGACATCGCTGGATTGGAACGTAAGTAGAAACGGCAGTGCTCAAAATACTGCAAGGAAATTGTACCTGTAATTTTGCATAGTCAAATTTATGTGACAGCAACTGTACATCTTCTGCCACGGCTCCTGAAATATTTCTATTTTTGAGTTGCATTGTAATTTCTTGTGTTGGACTTCAGGGACTTCTTTTTAATAAGTTGTAGTCAATGGAATAAATAACATAAATCTTATGCAGATGTGTTCTACCTGAAATTTGCTTTGTGTACTTTAGGTTTGAGTTATACAGTAAAAATAAGTAAATAAAGTAACCTTTTTTGATGGCAGAGTGAAGGTACACTTCTTGCAACTGGGTCTTACGATGGTTTTGCAAGGATATGGACTAAAGATGGTAAGTGAAATACTTTAATTTTCTGTATATTTTCCTATATTATGGCTCACAGCATAGTTTTTTATTTTTTTTAATGTATTCATATCAATATAAATTTTCAGGTAATCTTGCCAGCACCTTAGGGCAACATAAAGGTCCTATATTTGCGTTAAAATGGAACAAGAAAGGAAACTTCATTTTAAGTGCAGGAGTGGACAAGGTGAGATAATCTCTGGTAAAATTAAAATTCTTTCCTTCACCGTTACAGTCTAATTGTAAGCATAATAGCAAAGCTATAGAAAGTAAGTAAACCTAACTGAAAGTATGGGATGTAAATATGTACCTAAAAATAGCTTGTTATGCTAGCTCTGTTTCCTTGTGTTATATAGGAGTTTATTGAGATATTTTAGCTTATTAGATTTCAGTGTCCCTGGATCTCTTCCCAGTTAGGTTAGCATGAGTTAGAAAGTAAGTGCATTGAACACAGGAACATTAAACCTTTGTAAAACTGAATCGTCTAAAATTTGGTGAAGCACTTTATGCAAAGCCTCAGGAAAAAAAAATTGTACTGGAGGAATAGATTTAGGCTGATTCGGATATCGGTCAAGCCTGAGAATGATTAAAAAGGGTAGAGCTGGAACATAAGAAAAGTCAGCATATCTGACTGGGGAGGTGCCAGTAGTGTAATGTGTTTTATTTCACATCTCTAAACAAGCTTACAGACTCAGAAGGCCTTTAAACTCAAACCTTTTGTTGGTGTGAGAGGTTTTTATGAGTGGTAGGAAGGGCACATAGTGATGAAGAATAGACTTAAGACAGATTCAAAGAATAGAATAGACTATTAAAAAATAAGAAGAGTTTAATTTTTCCTCTGTAACTGGTTCAAAGTACAGAAGTAGACACAGGCTTGCTCTTAGTGAGACTGACAAACGGCAAGCTCAGTAAGACCACAGGCCTGTAATACTTTAAACTGGCAGTGTCACTGTAAAATAGATTTTCTCCTGTATTTATTTATTCCTGCATGCATTTAACATGGTTTACTTTAGTGCCCAGCTTTATAAATGCTTGCGCTGGCACAAAGGAAGGAAAAGTAAATGTCTCAGAGTATAGAAAGGATGGGTTTCTTCTTTTGGCAGCTGCAACAGCTTGTGCCAGTTTTTAAATCTTTGTGTGGAGGTACAGCTTTAATTTGCAGAAAAAAATTTTTGAGGAGATAGAAGCCTCATTTCAGTCAATAAAACTCCTTGGACAATGAAACTGAGATTATGCTGTGAAAAATATTCTGCATTAGCAGAAAGACTGACCCAATCTTATGCTGCTTTTCCATAAATAATCTGTGTGGTTAGTTCATGCTTCCAGTGAATTCAGTGTCAAAGTCTTAATTGATCGTTGAGGTAGGTCAGGAACATTGACATAAAACATAATGATTATAAAATACTAATTTTGTCATGTAAGATTTCTTTCGTCAGAAAGATACTGAAGTATTGACAGAGAACAGCTCAGATCAAAATTACACCTGTAAATCTTTCAGATTCTTAAGCATGAGATTAATTGTTTATATAAAGATCTCCTTAGGGACAAATGAATATTTGAAATTAAAATAGGCATGTGGACTAGATTAGAAGAATATAAATAGGACTAAGGAGATTTTTGTTTATTATAAAAAAAAAAAAACAACCCTTCTTCCCTCCAGACCCTAAAATGTTGTTATTAAACACCTTTTAAATATGACAACATGTTAAGGTTTTCTGCTGTTGTCTGGACATCTGCTACCATTTGCTTTTAGTACTGGGTAAAACACTAGAAATATAAAATCGGGAGCAGGTTTGGGCAATGGGGAGTAGGCTAGGTAGTCTGATACATGTGAATGGTCGGTAGTTGTGAAGAAATCGATTTGTACAAGTTTGTTTATTGTTTATCTGTTTAATACAGACCACGATTATTTGGGATGCCCACACTGGCGAAGCAAAGCAGCAGTTTCCTTTTCATTCTGGTAAGTCTTGATTTTGATAATTCAGGATTGTCATTGGAAAAGACAAAAGTGTTATTTAAAAAAAATAATAAATATGAAGTTTATGGAGCTTATTTACACCATTTTACAGTCTCACGGGCAGTCATTGGATACTGACTCCCATATTCATAGTCTTACGAATTTTGAGAATGTAAAAATAGTATTGTTTTGATTTTATAACTGTATAACTCCCAGTTTTATTGAAGTTCTTTGAAAGTCAAAAGAGATAATCCCAATATTACCAATTTTCTGTAGTACGGTGGCAGACAAATCAACTGGGTGGGCAAAGGACTGCATTTGTCCAGCGCCACACCCCATTGTTCTGAGCTGCCTGCTGTGCTGTCCCCAGTTTGTTTGGCCACAGACCAGCTGAAAGGCTGTTCGCTGGCCAGCTGGGATGAGAGTGCAGCCTCTCAGGAGGTAAGACAAATTGCTTTGTGGGCTGCATGCTGTGCAAGCCTGACAGAATCAGCTGGAAAATAGAATAGAGGGGGTGACAAACATGTCATTGAAGGGCCCTTAAGAAATGTGTCTCACTTCCAGTTTTTATTCCGCTCGCACCATGTTTTCAGTGGCATGACAACGATCAAAACCAGCAATTCTTGATTTACTCCAACCAATTCTGTGTGCTGTCTGCCATAAATATCTTGGCTTGACCAAGTGGAATATGTTGCCCATGATTTTCAAGTTATCACACCTTATAATGCCGGAATTAAAGAAAGGAAAGAAATCTTTACCTTTCACCATCTGCCATCTATGAGCACAGGCATGGACTGTTAGTGGAGATGAGTTCATGTATGATGATGTGTTACGTTGTGGGAGCCTGTTCCTCATGCTGACTCGAGGGTTTTTTAGGTTACTTAATTACAGCTCATTGTCCTTCTGCACTGTGTTCTCTATAACCGTTTCGTTCCAGATACGTTCCATGTTTTAATGACATCTATTAAATTTTGTTTCTTTTCTTTGTGTAAGACTGGTTTTGGCTGCATTCCTCACTGTTCATAGTGTTTAATTATCTTTAGAACTGCTGTAAAATTAATGGTTGCTTCCTGCTGGCATTTGTTCCAAGGTGGTGCATTGCTAAACTTGCAAATCAAACTCCTGCAGAATACATACCGTAGTTTTAAATATCTTTCTTTTTCTTTTAGCACCAGCATTAGATGTTGATTGGCAGAGTAACAACACGTTTGCCTCTTGCAGTACAGATATGTGTATTCATGTCTGTAAACTAGGACAAGATAGGCCCATCAAAACCTTCCAGGGTCACACAGTAAGTACTGGAAAGTTGGGGGTTGCTATATGATATTTTTTTTTTAATAAGAGATTGGGGGCCCAGCATACTTGCCAGTGTACAGCGCTTGCATAATGGTTCATCTTTGGCAGCGGGCAGTAGATACACATAGGAAGGTAGTTGCAGTTAAGGTCATGTGCTAACTGTAGTCTCTGTCATTAGTAGAACAGTTCTCACGCCCATGTGCAGTTTTTTTTTACCAGTGCCGGGATGGCATAGTAAAATGGCCCTTTAGAAGAAGAAACACATGACCTTTAAGACTTCACTATGTGCAGCCTATGCTGTGGAAGAGCATGCATGGGAAAATGTGGGGAACAGGTGGCAAAACGTTGTTGTAACTGAAGGCAAAGCTAGGAATGAAAATTAAATGTTAAAATACCGATAACGATACAAATACTCATAACTGCTGTCCAACTTTATCTTTCATAAGCTGTCATTTGTAATGGAAGTGAAGACTCCAACTTACTCTCACTGTTCAATTTTAGAATGAAGTAAACGCAATCAAATGGGATCCAACTGGTAATCTTCTGGCATCCTGCTCTGACGATATGACTCTAAAGGTAACAGGAGTTCTGGTACTGGCTCTTGGCTTTGTAAGACTCAGGAACGCACACCATTAGCTTGGGCAGTCCAGCCATTAGCTTGGGCAATCCCGCAATATTACTGTACTTGCCGTGTCGTCTAATATTTGTTCTTTTTTAATATAACAAGATTAGGCAATCCTAGCAAATCCTTGTTAATCAGAGCCAAGCTTTGGTCCAGAGAACTTGTTACAGGCTGCCACTCTGAGACTTGGAGCATGATTTATTAGGTGCTTTTAGCTGTTTACAGAATCAGGTCATTAATCAGTAAGCTGTCACGCTTGATGGCTGCTCTTGGTTAAAGGAAGAGTTGGAATGCATGTCATGTAACCCATACAAGAATGGGTGACTACCTCCTTTCCTGATTCTATTCTGTTTTCCCCTTCTTTCTATTTAAAATTTTTAGCACATTGTTTCGTAAGAAACTCTGTGTACTCCTTAGTTTTTAAAATTCATTGGGAGTCATTCTGTAGTTTTCAACTGCACCGACACTTTTCCTCCAAACAATTCAAAGTGTCATGCTGTCTTGTAGAACTGGGGAGGACTTGTGAATGTGGAGGATATTTAGCTTACACACATGACTTCAAGGAGCACTAGCGATCCATACAAAAATACCACCAGGTTAGATGCACTAGAAGAAAGGAGGTGGTTCACACCTGGCAAGCCTGTGCCATTTCCATGTTAGAGATGATTTTCCATTAATCCCATACTGCTTTATATTCAGTGAGAGCTGAGGACTGTGTTTGTTAGAATTTCAGGATATGGTTTTTTTATGTTGACAGAACTGACTTACTGGTGGGCCTTGGGACAGATATTTCCTTCTAGCTCACTGTTTTTTAATCAGAGACAGGGAATGGCTGAATGAGTAGCCACATATCCCCTCCTGAGCTGGCACACAGTCAGGCACTTGCGATGGAAATGACCTTATCTAAATATAAACATTTAAGCATTCAGCCTGCAGTCTAAAGCTAGATGTCTAGACATTTTTAGTCAGCAGAGTGTCTAGCATTTCCTAAGGTAAGTGTCTGGATCAAGTGTGATGAGTAAACCCCCGAGAGCATCAGTTGTTCTCTATTGGCAATGGATGGAGTCAAAATAGCCAGCTTAAGCTAGATATTTCATACTTAGATAGCTGAAATCCCAGTGAGATGAATTCTAATGTAGAGCTCAAGCTGTTGCTGCTGCATCGCAGTGAGTAGAGAGGTGACAACTGGGAACATGTCACCATTTGTGGGCTCAGGCAATTAAGTTCTTGGTCACTGTTTTGAATTCAGCTCAGCCTGGAAGGAGTTTTATTGTTTTGTTTAGGTTTGACTGGAAGACCAAGTGCTTGTAGAAAAGTCTGCACATCACTAATCACTTGTGGAGTGATCACTAACTTTTCAATAACAGTGGGAATGAATGTCAAGTTTTGCACATTATGGAAGATGCTTAGAGAACTATTTATTTGTTTGTTTATTTATTTATTTTTCTCACTTGTGGTGCCAACTTGATATTCTTTAGGGCAGCTGATATGGACTCTTTTTGTCTATAGTAGTTTTGGGAAGAGAAGCTAGATTTTGATCCCATCAATTTAAACTGGAAATACAATTTTAATTCTGTCTGCACATTGAAAATCAATTTTCCCTTCAGTGAGACACCAGTTCTGAAAAGCATCATTCATGTAAACATACACACGAATTGCATCTTAAATACAGGTAGACTTAAACATGCTCCAGTTAGCTTTTTGTAACAAAAGTCAGCCAAAAGCACTACTAGACCAGATAGCCTTAAAAAAAGTATTCAGATTATTAACTACTATATCAAGTTTCACATTCAGGAAAAGGTATAAAGCCTTCCAAAACCTCTTCTGTGTGCGGTGTAAACTCTTAATAGAATAGAGTTACTTTCTTTGTTGAAGGTTATCATGCAGAAGTTGGAGTCCTAAGGAACTGTGTGAAATACTGAACAGACACCTGGCAATGCAAATCCTAATAAGCCAAGAAAATGCCATAATGGTTTTTGCAGTCTATGACTTTGTATGAAAACAGAAAATTTCTCTACAGTCCCTTTATTTCACTCAATCTGTGTAGCAAGAAGTTCATTTAAAAATAGGACTGTGATATTTTGTCAACTCAGACATGTACATATACATATTGCTCTTCTCATTTGAGCATCTGGTATCATCCCTGCACTTTTCAAGGGGCTTGTAGTTAGCACATGCAGATTGGTTTCTATAGACAGTACCTTGATTACTCATTAACCCATCAGGTATTTATAACTCAAAGATGGAGGGAACTGGAATAATACTTGTCATAATTACTCTAGAAACTCAGCAGTTACAGTAAAAGTTTTGAGTGGCCTAAAAGGTAGAGGTCAGGCTGCAAATGATAAAGAAAGATGTATTTTAGTACAATATTGTGCTAAATGTCTTTGTGTTTTCTTCCGTTTTTATCCTAGATCTGGAGTATGAAACAAGACAGTTGTGTCCATGATTTACAAGCACACAACAAAGAAATTTATACTATCAAATGGAGTCCTACAGGACCAGGAACAAATAATCCAAATGCCAATCTTATGTTAGCAAGGTAGTATTAAATCCTCTTTTTAAATGCCTGTTAAGCATTATTTTCTAATTCACTCTTCGTATATTATATGAAGGTTCACAGAATGTTTTGAAGCATGTAGGATGTTTTATCATATTGGTTTATATTAGAAAAAAAGATATGTCAAATTGAGATGTAATTAATCTGTGTTTTTTCCCTTGACAGTGCATCCTTTGATTCTACTGTTAGATTATGGGATGTAGACAGAGGAATTTGTATTCATACTCTGACAAAACATCAAGAACCTGTGTACAGTGTAGCTTTCAGTCCTGACGGCAGGTACCTGGCTAGTGGCTCCTTTGATAAATGTGTACACATCTGGAATACACAGGTATAGCTCTTCTGTCTGTTTAGAAGTTTGTGCTTTGGTCGTTTCCATCAGCACCCTTGTAACCTTTGTTGCTCCATTGTATTTTGGCCACAAAGAGCTTTGCCCTTGCTAACATGCTGATTTGCTTTCTCTTTGTTCTAAGGTTGCTCCTGTTAATGGATGTACATTTAATTTCTCTCTTTGAGTGCTTGCCTGTGGCAAAGTAATAATTGTCTTTACATTGCCTTTACTTATTAAAAACAAAACAAAACCAAACAAACAAACAAAAAAAACCCAATAAACCCCACACAAACTCACCACCAAAAAAACCCAGAAACCACCACGAACTAAACATATTCAAGTGTCTCCAATTACACGTTACTTCCAAAAATTGTCTTTGTTAACTCTGAACTTTAAACTTCTGATAAAACAGGCTTGCTGTGAAAAATAACTGGATGTAGACATATAAATCTGATAGCTCTTTCATTGAATTTCACTGAAAGAATGTAAAGTGAGAGAAGATGGTGATGGCAAAATGTTTCTACATAACTTTCTTAGAAAGGATACTATTACTTGTTTTGTATTTCTGGAAAAAGGGGCTGATTGTGAATGAAAGTCTGAAGACCTTGTTGTTAGACAAGATGTGATCTCTGGCTACTGGGAATTGGATATTAATTTTTGAAAGGCTCATTTTAGTAACTGAAAGTAGTCATGACCATCCCTCATTTTGCCTGTCAAACACAAGATGTGCTAACAGTGTTTGTCGTATCCTTTAACACAGTGCTGAGATTGTCCACGACTCTCATCTGGACCCTTTCCTCTGAGATTTTCAGCTTTTAAAAGTGGGGAAGTTTTACATGTTGTACAAATTATACTTGTTTGCTTGGATTCTGTTATATTAATTGCATATTTTGTCCCTTTTCAGACAGGTGCCCTAGTTCACAGTTATCGGGGAACAGGAGGGATTTTTGAGGTTTGCTGGAATGCAGCAGGAGACAAAGTTGGAGCAAGTGCTTCAGATGGTTCAGTAAGTGCTGCTCAGCTTGTTTCACATTCTAGCAAAAAGACTTTTGGAAATCTTTTGACTAACAACGGAGACAAAATTCCCTTCTGTAGCTGAAGTTTAATACAGCCAGCTCATATATAAGGGTGCTGTAATGTCCTTATTCCAGCTCAATGCATTACTGTTCCAAACCCTCTGAAAATCTCAGAAGCTGAAGATGTCTGTAATTTAAATTTTCTGTCCCTACTGGTGCTTACTATGGAAATGGGTTTTTTGTGGCTGATCTTTCCATTATAGTCTGGAAACAAGTTCATTTTTGCCTCTTTGCCCTTTTTGAGTGAGAATGTTCAGTGTAGGTGATTTTACTGTAATGCATGATAGGAATGAGAGGTCTTCTGCATTGCGTTCAACAGCAGTGCAGCAAAACGAAGTAGAAATTTCTGAATGCTCATAATTAAAAAGTTCCTAAAAATGACAGGAGCTGTATGTAAATACCAGTCTGTTTTACATTGCTTAGGAGCAGCAGGGAATATTATCGTATATTTAATCCCAAATGCACCCTCTATCATCCCATAGTGCTGTATTGCAGCATCACCTCCTCGCTCTTCTGACATTGTCCCGCAAAGTATTGCGGTAAAAATGAAGTTCTTCGTAAACAAGTGCAACAGTTGGATTTTGCTTGCACCTATTTTGCAATGGTTTTTAAAGAAAGGAGAGGAGAGCCTAAGGGAAAAGCAAAATTAGAATAAAATAGGAGTGATAAAGGAATTGTATTTTAAAGTAAAGTAACAAAGGTCAGCAAAAAGCAATCCTGGGCTTTGTAGTCCAGAGTCTCAGGTAGTATCTTAACACAGGTGCCAAAGTGTTCTTTCCTGTGTGCTCCATGCTGGTATGTGGTATCTCTTTGTTAGGGTTCAGAACAGAAAATAGAAACTTCTGATTTTTAAGTAGACTAAATTCTAGAGAATTAATTTTGATTTGTCTTTCATATAATTTTAGCCTTGTAAATATAGACATTGTAATAAAAGGAACAGAAGCTCCAGGCATATCCTGAATAGAAATTAATTATCGTTCCACCCTAGATGACCCTTTTACACACATGATGTGTAACCTTTACAGTCTTCCAGTTAATTTGACCCAAGCGGCTGATTGTAGTTATAACAGATTGGTTTTCATTTAGTTTTTGCTTTTTCAAAAATTGTTGTGTTTGTTTTGGTTTATCTTGTTTGCTCGTGAAAGCCTTCCTTAGCCCCTCGGTTTTAAATATACTTACAGCTCCCAATAACTAAGCAAATAGAGGCACATTTGAACTGTTTGATGACTAAAAGCATAGCTGTATATGATGGTATTTTAGTAGTAGATTTCTATATCTGACAGAACTAAACGTTAACTAGTTATTAATGTTGTGATAGCAATTCATTAGGCAGCAGCACCCTTAACAGGTCTGGCTGGGTGCTCATAACCAAAGCTCTCACCTGGTGATTTTTTTCGCCCCAATCTGTTGTTAGGACATACAAGATGGAGCTTGTGCAATCTGTTTTACAGGTTTTGCTCAGATATTTCCCACAGAATTGTATAAATGTGGAATATTGTGCAGTGTGCGATTTCTGCATATGTATTTCTTTTTCTTGCAGGTTTGTGTATTAGACCTACGGAAATAGCGCTACTAGTTGGAAGCCATGGACCGACTATGAATGTGTACATAGCCAAAATGACTGTCCCTGACCCATGTACTGCTATAGTCCCAATTGAACCATGGCCAGTCCACTACAGCCAAACGTAAAAGAAATATATACATATACTGTATATAAAAAAAAAAAAGAGAAAAAAAAAATTACACCCTGAAGAGGATGACAGAGTTTTGTCACAGCTTGTGAATCCTGTTCACCAAGTGCTGGAATCTGCTGTGCCCCAAAATAACATTTAAAGGTTTTGGATACGAAAAACAGAAGAGAGCGAGAGAGAGAGAGAAATATACCGTACACAAGAGCAGACCCATATACATACCAAATTCAGAAGATACTAATGGCAGCCTTCATTACCCCTTCCCCTCTTTAAATCCATTATGACAATGGATTGGGGGATATTTTTGTTTTCCTTCTCAGTAGGTGAGCAGTTTGTGTGTACAGAGAAAATGGACTTACAGAAATCTGCAGCAGTAGTTTTTTTCTTTGCTTTTAAACATTGGGTTTTCTGTTTTGTTTTGGTTAAGTTTACGGATGCATGAAGTAAGGGAGTGAATTAGTTTCTTGTTTATATTTTTTCACCTTGGAAAAAAATGTTTCTTTGAAACATCTTTTAATGCGTTCTTTGAAGAGGTAGATTGAACCTGATAATGTTTGGTACATTTTGTGGCTCCCAGAGCACAATTTTGTGAACAGAGGGAGGGTGGAAAAGGGATTATGGAGAGAGAAGAAAAAAAGAAAAAATCCTTCTTTGAGGGGTGTTTTTTCACGTCCTGCTCAGCTACAAAGTATGACAGTAATGGGTATAATGCTATGTTTTATTTTCTGGTGACATGGCTGAAATGCAGTAGTTTCTTATTTGGGACGTAATTCTGCGAAACTTAAGAACAGAAGGGCACAAAAAAATACAGAAAAGAAAAATACAGGGATGCAAAATAACCCCAACAAAAACAACAGCAAACCCAAAACCGAGGACAAGAAAAAAGAGGAAAAAATGCATCTTCTGTTGCTTTAAGACCATAGCTAAAATATGGTGAAATTGTGCACTATTGTGAAAAGGAGCAAAGTATAGGTGGGGGATCGTTTTTAAGATGTTAAGATCTTTCTGGACAAGGGTTCATGCCACAGCTTCTCTGAGAGTTGCCCATCATTATTTGTAGGAGCTTAGATGTATAATTGTAAACAAACTCCAGTATTAAAAGTATCTCATGTAATTTTTCTTTATTAAAATAAAATCTTTGGCATATATTTGATAACACTGCCATTAAGAGGCAAAATGTTTACTACCTTAGATTTAAAAAAAAAAATCTTAAACAGAGGACTTGCTTCAAGTTTATTTTAATAGCAGTGATTCAGCTTATTTAAAAGATGAATACTTGCACTAATTCCCCTGCTGCTCCAGTCCTGCAGTTTATTGTATCTTGTGACTACATTTTTTCCAAATATAGGGTAGATGTAAGCTGCTATTTTTTTAATAATCACTACTATATAGTGTCTTTTACTCTGTTTACAATATCAAGTATTTTTCTTACAATGACAGATGTATATGGCAAACCTTTTTCTGCTCATGTGATTAAAAGTATACTGATAGTGATTTTATTTGTAAATGATAGCATGAGGTTGTGTTTACGCGTATGTGTAGTCAAAAAGGTTGCATCATGTCTTGCATAAGATTCCAAGAGTGTAAATTTATAAAAAGAGAGGTTGTCAAATTTATGTCACAGGCATTTTACTTCAGGAATGGTTTATATTACAGAACTTTGCAAAGTTATCAGTTTTATAACACTATTTCAATCACAAATAATTTTGTGGCTTATGATTGCTAGTCTCTAACCTTTTTTTTTCATTTTGGTTCTTTTTTTTTTTTCTTCCCTCCCGTCCAAGTTAGGTATAAATTGATTATATTGAGATAATGCAGCTTTGACATTTTAACCATTGTTCTTTAGGCATTGATTTCTGCTATTTCCATGGAATAAACACGACTTGAAGCAAGTCTGAGTTTGGCTAAGGTAGGGTAGCAATTTGCCAGTGGTAAAGAGACGTCAACGATACATTCTTAATGTATACCCCTGGATTATTATACTATCATACACAGCATTTAAAACCAACAAAAGTCATATCCATAAAGACAGTCATCCACGGTGGTTTGGTGCCAGCTATTTTTAGGGTTTTGGAACATATTACAAATGTTTAGAGCAATTACCCTGTGAGTTACAATATGTGGGAAACCTAATATATTGAGTGTCTGGCACTTGAAATATTGCTTTTATTGCTGGAGGTCCATGACTGTGGCTGACCTCTGTCATTTAATGAAAAAAATAAAAATAAAAAAAAAATTCTGTGCAATAATTTTAAACTGTGCTCCCAGGAATAGACACAAATGTTTTGAGTATGTTTAAGCTGCATTTTTCGTTTAGCAATGCATTTGTCAATTGCACTGAATTTAAATCTGAAAGTCAGAAGTGATTCTTGATAGTACTTTTGTATTTTAATATGGACAGTTTATTCATTTTCATAAACGTTATTGGATGATTCTTTCAGCCAGTCTAAACAATTGTGGTGGAATTCTGTGACATAGCTGCAAAATCACACAGCCATGTTTTAGGGTATCGCCATTTTCCTCTTTCTCAATCATCAGCTGTTTTGGTTGTAATTCTAGTTGCTTAAGCATAGTATCACATATTCAGAAATAGATAAAACAGAGCTTCAGGATCACAGGTCCAGGGTTTTCAGGTGCTTGAAACACAGTCCAGCAGGAACGTCCGCTCTGTTTACTCGAGTGCTCTGGACGCGCAGGCTGAGACCCCAACCTGGTGTTCATCAGCAGTGCCCTGCTGTAGTGGAACGAGGCCAGTTTCCACTAGCGAAGGACCTGGCCAGTAGGAATTTTATTGTTGTCCTTTACTAGCATGCCACAGTGCTGCTCCTGCTCACACCTCTTCTCGCCTCTTGTTTTATACACTGTTACATGCATGCATGCAAGGTGTGCTAGGTTCTGTGATTATGTGAAGCAAAAAGAAAAAAAAGAGAACCATGACATTAATTATTATCTTTTATAGCACAAAGACCTCGTATTCAGTAGTGAGGTAGACTATCCAAATTGTTCCTTTAAACTGAGTATGCCAAATGTCAGTAAGACCCTAACTTTGTATAAACGTATGCAGATGCTTAGTCTTACATACTGAGTAATTCTGTTGCACCTGTTTTCCAAGTGTAAAGGCAAACATATGCATAAGCCTTTGCATACATTAGTTTCTTCTTTTTTCCAGTTCAACAAGCTAATGGGCAAATATCCAAATGGAGGGTAAAAGGAAGGGAAAAATCTGGGCTCAGAATTAATAATGGAATAAGAAATTAACTGCTCTTGAGTTCGCTGTCTTTCTATGCATCCATCTCAGAATCCCGTTTCTCATTTCTGCATAATTAGGTCCAGGTTTCTGTAGAGTTCTTCCTTTTCTATTTTTACTTTACCTTTTTCTGCATTTTTAAATTGATGTAAAGATTCCCAACCAGTGGACTTTTTAGTGTAGTTAAGAGAATATCTAGGTCCTCATAAAAGCTTTTTTAGACTCTTTGTAATGTTGATAAATTCAGTTTATTCTGGGACTACAATTGTGCAGGGTTATTTAGCATGTCTACTAGATGATTGGAAATCTTATATGAAACACTAAAAGTGCCTCTTTTTCTGGGTTGGGTGGAGGGAGGTAATAGTTACCAGAGTCAGAATGACATGGCATTTTGAAGCATGTTTCTTGATTTTGTGACACTTTAATGCATCTTGAGAGAAAGGCCAAAGATTTCTACCAATTTTAATTAATTTTCTTTTTAAAAAGCACTCCTTTTTCCTTACACTGCTTACCTCATGCTAGGGTATTTAATGGGACATTGTACCTTTGAAATGTTCTTTGTGTTTAGGAAGAATAGCAGGTGGCACAGGGCGGTTGTGCCAGTTTGCCTACGGAGCAATCTTAGCAGCTGATGCATTTAGTTCTGCTGAATGAAGGAATTTCGTTAAAATCGCAAACTGGTTTTTCAGCTTGTAGATAAAAGGTTGTATGTTTTTGTCTGTTTAGTGAAGAGGAGCCTTGGGACCCGATTTTTTCCAATCTTTTCTTAACCAGAAATCCCATTGTCTTTCACTTCATGAGAAAACCTTGCCAGAACAAGCATTGGAGGCGTTGGGTCTGTGTAACACCGGACAGCGTGACGCGTAGGTACAACGAGCCGCATCTCGCCCCAGCCAAGGCTCCCCTTGGCCTCGGCAGGGGTTTTGCCAGAGCAGGGCCTGCCGGAGTTAGCCCAGTGTTCCTTTTTCATTGACAAGCGTGAGAGCTTCTCCCTTCACCCAGTCCTGTAGAGCCGTTCATTCCCCAGTGGGATCAGTTTCACACTCCCCAGAAGTCTGAAGAAAAGCAGAAGCAACATTGTGGCATGTTAGAAGTAAATAAGGCTTCGGGAGACAGCAGTAAATCTCCATCAAGATCCCTGACATTTTTCGTAGGGAGAGAGCCGTGGAGCAGTCTCCACCTCTCCCTCGAGAGAGAGCTCTGAAATACCAGGTTCTGTGGAAGTGTGGCTGTCTTCACTGTCAGTCTGGTGGAAGGCAGACGAACCAGGAAAATCTGTTTCTTGCGGATTGCAGATTTAGTGTTAATAGCGCTTCAGATCAGTAGTTCTGAGTACATAATTCGCTTTTTCTGCCTTTAAGTTTGAAGCTTGACAATAACTTGAGGCATGTTTTTGTTTTGTTTTCTTTTTGAAATAATCATTCATTTTTACTTCATAATGTTTTTTGACATTTGTGGGTAAATACGAGAAAACAGTCTGCATGTTGTTGCTAGTCCAGTGTACTTTGCAATCTTGTCCTCAACAGACTGCAGTGTGCAGAACAGTAATTCTAGAATACAGAAGTAATTTTCTCTCTCTCCTGACATTGACATTGTAGTTGTAATGGTTTCATTTTGGAGTTACAAATCCTTTGGGTCTAATTCTGTGAGCCTACCTATAGCACTGGATTAAAATGTCTGCATCATTTCTTCAGTTATCCAGTTAAATTACAACTGTTGTAAAAGTGTAAACCAGCCCATGACAGTTTTTTGTACTTGTTTAAAGGACTTTTATTGTTCAGTTTTCATGATTATTGTCTAAAGAAGACTGATATAGATGTTCTATACTGTCCTGGACCATGTTAATTACACTTTATGATGTATTTTGGTTCTACATCACAATGATTTCTCCCCAAGGCCCTTATATCCCTTCTAGGCACATTTTCTGTTGCAGTTTCCCTTTGCATTGTATTGCTTTGACAACTGTAATTTGAATCAGATCTGAAAGAGGTCCAGAATAAAATATATTTTGATATTACTTTGTCTGAATGTTATATATGACTAATTTTAAATGCTTGGTACAGAGGATTTGCAGATTATTAAGATGGGGAAGTGACAGAGTGAAACACTGTTTTTAATATTTATCGTGGCACATGTTCACACCAGGCAGCGTGTAAGAAGCAATGGGAGGTAGTACGCTGTACAGCTACACACTCTTTACGAACATACGGTAGATCCTCTGAAAATGATGAAGCTCTCCTCTGCCACCATTTACTGCTACGCGTTTGATTTAGGTCAACTGGTTTCTCATGTGTGCATTCTGTGTGCATCATCTTCTCCTTACCCAGACACTTGTGGAAGAGACACTGAGTCTGGTGACACACACAGCTACACCCCAGCTGTTCAGAAGACTTTGGAGGTGTGGGAGCAGGCTCCTGGATGGTAATGCCGTCTCACATCGGAGAGATCCGCTCTTACGGAGCAATTCAGTTTGATTATGCAAAGGAATGTTATTTGTGTTACTGTATTTCAGGTAGTTGAAACCATTTAGATTCACACATGAAATAACATGCATCCATCCATAATGATGGTTTAATTCCTTTAGAATTGTGGGTTGTGTCATAATCTGAGAGAGGGAACCTGGATGATTTATTTTCCGCATTGGTAGAACTTTATGGTGAAATTACTGCTTTTTAATGTAGATTATTTATTTGCTATAATATGTTTAAAAGTAACAGCTTTCTTAGTAATGTTATCAAAATCAATTTGTTCTAATATGTTGAAACTTGCTGCTGAAAAGCATATGTAATGGATTGGAAATGGAGGAGGGACTGTGTTGTACAAGTGTAAAACCAGTGTTGGATTCCCTTCACCTGGAGTCTGAGTGTGCTTCAGGATCTCTCGGTCACTAAATTTTGAGAGAGCACTATTGAAGCAACTTCATGGTTTTGAGACAGACTGTTTGTACTAACAAATGTCCTGTTACAGACAGCTTGTGTGTCTTGAAATTTCATTAGCACAAGTGTCCCCCTCTAGAGTACAGCCATTCTGAGATGCAGGAACCAGGGAGTGCTGGTGCAGCGCGTAGATGTTACGCTTGCAGGGTAGCGATGCCCATCTCTGTTCGGTGAGGAGGAGACAGCATTCCAGGCAGGTGTGTTATGCCATTACGGCCCGAATCTGCCCTTTGAAGTTTAGTTATCCTCGTGCTGTTTTTTCTAGTTCTGTAGGAGCTCGTGATCTCAGGTGTTCATAAAGTCTATGTTCCCTGTCTCATAGGGAAATGATTTAATGGAAGTCTAAGCAACATTTTTGGTTCCCTGATGTCAGCACAGGGCAGCTGTAACAGAATAGTAATTGAAGAGGAATTTATTGACGATTCTGCAGAGAATGATGATGCGCAGTCAGTACAATTTGTCCATGAGGAAGGCAGACCCAGGAGATCTGCAGTGCAGAGGCTTTCTTATTTATCTAACTGAAAATTGGTGTCATAAAGGATGGTTTGAAGGATTCAAAAAGACACAGGTTTTTTTAATAGATGTAATGTGAAAATGTTCAGCTCCTGGGATTCATTCTTCAGATACCAAGTCAAGATACTGGTGTCAAGAAGTCTCATTAGAGGTCAAGTACTTTCAACAGACTGTTTTTCTTGTTTCCACAGAGGTTTTTCTGACTTATTCTAGATGCTAAGAACTCTGATTTTTGCTTTGAGAGTGCTGCATTTTGAGCTTTCTGAATTGTATGTTCTTGAGCATTTCAAGAACTCTTACCTGGACTGGTGACAGCTTGGCTTGAGTGTTCTCCCTTCCCTGTTAGAGAATGAAAGGTCTCTCTGCACAGCAATGCTGAGGGGAAATTTCTGAAAAGAAATGGTGGTGGATGAAGGGTTTTTTCTGACAAATATTTAAAATCCATTTTCTAAAGATTGTGTTTCCCATTCCACTATATCGAAGTGCACATACGACGAATCTGCGGCACCATTTGCTCTTCTTGGATGTTGTCTCAGCCTTGAGAAAGCATTCAATCTTCAGGCTCCATTTAGTTGAATTTCTACCTTTGTCCCTGCTTCCAATGTCTTCTGTTGACAAGAACATCTGAAGGTGTAGCGTCAACCTTTAATAAATGCCAGGCACAGGTAGGGTGTAAGTCATCTGAACCTGGCTGTTGGTTCTCCAAAATCATATTGACTGGGTCTTTACAATCTCTTTCTTGCTGGCAGAGTTGCGGTGCTGCATCGTTTGCTGTTGCAGAAGCTGGTAGGAGCATGATGGCTGCTAGCCGTTATGGTTGAACTGCCCTGTGGCTTTCCACTTTATAAATATGGAAAAAGACGTTTTTGTGATACAACAACCATGCATTCCTAGTACTGAAATTGGGAGCCGCAGTACATTCTGACATATATCCCTTAATTTCTTGCAAGAGAATCATTTTTTAAGGTAGGAAATTCCTGCCTCAGGAAAGTAGTGAAGAATTGCAATTACTGATGCTTAGTTTACTTTTTAAATTATTATTTGAAAGTTTTGCAGTTCTTTCACTTTCTGTTGCCACATCTCATCTATCTTCAGTTTGCTTCAGTACTGCAGCAAGTCAGATGCCGATGAGGTGGATAGGAACAAACTGCTTTCTAGCAGTAAGTAATTTGAAGCCAGAAGCCAATTTCCAAGGCAAAGGAGTAGGAGTGTGAGTAGTTTGTTGCAATT